CCTATTTATTTAGTTAAAGACTATTTAAAAACTATTAAAAAATAGTGTTTTTATACTTAAATACTAAAGTGTATAGATTACTTTCTACTTTTAGGAAAGCTTTAAAGTTTATATATTTAAAATTTATATAATTTAAGTAGGGATTATTAATTTATTTAAAAAAATTAAAACCTTACCTCTTTATAGGTAAGCACTATATAAATAACCTAGTTATATTTTTAATCCCTAAAAATTTAGATACTTTAGAAACTCATAATTAGGCCCTAAAAATCTTCTTTATTCTATGTAGAAACTCGTATCTTCAAAGTCTTCTCCGACGGGCATGAGCTCGCGGTGCAGCACCTCGCAGCGCGCGACGACCTCAAGCCCGCCCCGCCGCCCGCCCGCGTCACGTATTCGTTTTCCGGGCACGAAGGGTACAAAACTTTTGCACTGATTGTTGTCAGAGGGCCGCCGTATGGCGAGACTCATTATACTTATAGGTAAACTATTTGCTTTAGATTAATTAAAACTTACTGTTCACTTATAAAATGCAATAATTGCACGTAGAGTTTTGACTTTCTGCATGGCTCTCTGGACAACTTCCGCCACCAGAGATGTTGTGATGCTAGAGAGCGCGTAGGTAATCCCGCATTACCCTCCAGTGAACGTTTCGGGGCACAGGCATTCAGCGTCGATACTCCCAATGTCAACCAGCAAGGCGCAAGGCGCCTAAATGGTCCAGCGATTCGCGTTGTTCTCTTACAAGACGACGGCTGGACCAATCCTTCTCTGTCATGTGCGTTCCAAGGTCAGACCAAACACCTTCGTGTAATACAATTCGAGGAAGTTCGACAAATGGCGAGATGCTCCCAGCTTAACCGCCACCATTTGATACACAAGAGAACCGCACTTTATGACTGCTGAATATGGAAGACAGAGCCGAAGCTGATTACCTTTTTATCATCGCTTTCCGGGACCCCTCAGGCCTTGGCCTAAATGCGCCATTCTTTCACATGTCATCCGCAACGTGCTGCTACCTGATACAGCTATTACACGAGCCCTCAACGCCCGAATCCAAGCGAGCGTGGGGTACTTCATCCGCAGGTTACCGATTCTGCCAGGAAACGATTCATTTGAATATAAACTCTGCAAAGAGAATGCGTCCAAACTCTAGGCAACAACTTACATTTCCACCCCCTGGCGCCGATACGAGCTCGGCAACGCTTGGATGCAGTGCTACAGATATGTGAATAAGACTGCGTCTTTCGTTGGCCGCGAAATCAACAGCCTAACGGAGGAAATAGATGCAGTTCGAATTATGGAAAGTATTATGGAGTTATATCTTTTCGAAAAGGTCACAGAAGGTTAACGCTGGAAAGATCATGCCACAGGCTATCTCGCCCTGGTGAAACTCCTGGGCGGCTTTGATGCTGTTCTTCGGTTGCGGGAGCCACCCGCGCAGACCATTCCACAATGCTCATATGAGTCTATAGCGGTGTTTCTGGAGCCAAATTACTAGGGAATGTAGTAACCGCTAACACTTTGGCTCACAAGACAATGCATTGGCGCAAACACTACCAGCCCGGCAAGCCAGCATGTGTCTGGTCTTGGCTCGTTTCCAGACCACAAGATACAAGCTTCGTACAATGGGCAGGCGGAATAGGCCATGCAATGCCCTGGAAATGTGATTCTCTCCATCCGCCACATTACGCGACTCTGAGTGTAGATTACTACGGGCGATGTTGGGGACCACCTGCCGTCTCGCGTCCAATTTATCCTGAGCGCCATGAACGACAGTTCTAGGCCCACGTCAGTAGTGAAAATAAACCCTTCCTGACAAACTGTATACTAGACCTTTCGAGCGGTGGTTGAGCTGTACGCCATCTGGGCGCTTTCTAAGCGTCTGTGCAGCCATTGCCGTCACTGGCGATAATACTGGGCTGTGAATTCGAATGCAGCGCTAGAAGCTACTGAAGCTCCTCCGCGACGCTTCCAATTTAGTACAGACTTTAGACAGCCTTCGATGGCCGCTCATCGTCGCGGGCGTCAGCGTGGCGGTGGGCTCTTGGAGCGACTAGGAATTTGTGGAGAGCAACCTACAACGTATCTGCAATTGCGCGATACCTAATTGGGGAGCACTGTGGTGGATAAGTTGCAGACGTCTTGTGTCTTAGGCAAAACAGGATGGAAAGACTGCTTCCAAGAGCCCGTGGCGTGTCTTATTGAAGCACGGCTGGTGATGGAGGGAAGATGTGCAGCGCTACAAGTAAATTTTGGATCACGCAGAAAAAAGAAAGCCTTAAACCGTATAAAAAAAGATTATACTCGCGCGATATATGGACATTGACGACATTTCAGTCCGTCCCGCTGGGGCATACAGCAGTATTGCTGGAAGCAGTATGGCTAGATGAATAACGAAAAGCGAGGTCGCAGCTGAAGCTAGCACGTCGCCAGTCCGCTAACGTCGCCCACCCAGATGTGGGCACCACCCACATCTTAGCATGGAAATCCCAGCCACCTCTCCTCCTAACCTGCACCACGCGCCTCGCGATTTCTTACGTAATACCTCTTTTTTAATTCTATAAAAAATCTACCTACACTCTTAATACCTAACTATACTAAATCTAACCTCTAGAATGTAATTTAAGACGTTATTAGTAGTAAAAGCTAGGCCTATACATTATAATACTAGAGTGTACTATATATAACTATCTAATAATAGCTTAAAGGTAGAGTATTATAAAAAGAGGCGTTTAAACTACTATAAAAGCTTCCTAGGCCTTAAGAATTATAGTTTATTATATAGATATTAATTTAGGATATAATAGGGAACCCCCCTATATATAAGTAGGTCTAGAAGATTATATTAATATTAACTAAATATAATAGTACTTAATAACTAATAAAGAAGAATTAAATATAAGGCTTCTTATTATAAAATCTAGAAGTAAAGACCTTAAGAGGTAAGAGGCTTAATTTCTAGTGTTTATATAGTGCTTTAACTTATATTCTTTAATAATTCTTTAAACTTCTAATAATTAATACTATTAAAGAGATACCCTTAGTGAATTAATATAATATAGATAAAATAAGGCTTATAATAGGTCTTTAAGAGAATAGCTTAGTACTAGGGTTATTAAAGAAGTAAATTACCTTAAAGAAGTAGTCTAGTTAGTACTTTTAGAGTATAATTTTTAAGTATATTTTAGTAACTAGGAAGAGGTTAAACCTATTAATACTATTTAATAGAAAGAACGTTTAATAATAGTGGTTTCTTAATAGATTAAGTCTATTTAAAGGCTGGTTTTTTAAAGTAACTATAAGAGGTTAGACTAGTGATAAAGTAGTAGTATTCTAGCTTAAGGCTATCTTTATACCTTAAATAATACTACCTCTAGACTAATAAAGACTTCTAATTCTTAATAGCTATAAAAGTCACTATATAGCTAAATTCTTATTTAAATATTATTATTATAATATCTATCTATTATTCCTCCTAGTTTATAGCTTTTATATACTTTAACCTCTTAATATAGCTATTTTTAGTCTAATTAAAACTAGCTATTAAAAGGAGCTTAGAAATTAACCTTATAATATAGAATCTTTATTAGTTAGAAAGTGGATTTTCCTTAAATATTATATAATCACTTAAGAAGCTAGATTATTAAAAAAGAATATTTAAATTATATAGTAAAAGAGTGGCGTTTAGCTAGTTAATATCACCTAGCTAATAATAAGTAATTTACTACTTAATCTAGTTAAAATAACATTAGAATTAATACCTATAAAGCTTAAAAAAGCACTTAAGGAAGGCCTTCTAGAGGTTAAAACACTATCTAATAGATATAAATTATTAGACTTACTTATAAATTATTCTTATTAATTAACTAACCTATAGTTAATTAATTAAATCTAATAGAAGATCTAAAAGTAATTTAATATCTAATAAACTAGAATTATACTCTTAGAGAGTAAAATATTAAATCTTAAAGTAAAAATTAGGCTTCTAAAGCCTAAAAAATAGTAAACTATACCTATAAATCCTAATAGGTTATTTATTAAAGTAATAAATATTAAAAACACACACTAATAGCTTAATAAATAATTTAATAGTATTTTTAATAAAATTCTATTATCTATATCTAAGGCTTAATTAATTATCTAATTTCCTACCTTTAGGTGTTATTTTTATATTATTTAAATTTTATCTAGATTATCTATACAACCTTATAGTTAATAGTTATGATTGTAATAACCTACTAAGATGTGGGTGGTGCTAAGATGTGGGTGGCCGACGTTAGTTACTATGGACCAGTACTATGTATTGCTAGAGGCTATTCCTAGGTTGACTAGTAAGTCATGAGTTTGAAGTTCAAGTGCCCGAGAGGAAGAGTAGTAGCACATCTCATACGCAGTAAAGAGCGATTTTCCGTAGTGATCTAATGTTCCAGCCCAGATCAGTACGATAAGGAAAGTTAATAGAAAAGGCTATATATACAATACATTAGAGCCGTGATATATTGTGCAGCTATTCATTCGACACACTTTATTCTTGTTTTTATTGCACGCCACTTCTCGGCGAGCGGTATCACGTGCTGAGGCAACGATGCATTTATATAGGCAGCGCATCGAGATGATTGGCAATGGTTTAAGCAGCAGGTCAATCTCGTACGGATTTTTGTGTGCGTAGCTGCTGCGCTTACTCATGCGGTGTGCGTTTCCTCTACAGTTGGCGAGACAGCAAACGAGGGCAGCAGCGCTTTGGAAACGACCTTGAGAAACAAAGTACGGCCAAGTACTTAGCCGACCTCGTATGCAATATCCTTCCACGGCTGCCTACCATTTTTGCGTTGGTGCGTAGGCGGCCTGTGCGGCGACGAAACCAGGGACAGGGCACCAATTTCTCGACCATGCTGGCTGGCAATTTTAGGCCCTACCCCAAGACGAACGCGGATCTGAATATATGTAAAAACTTGTCATAAAGCTTGAAGGTTGTAGAATTCAAGACAAGGAGATGATTACGGAATTGTTCGTCGTCGCGCTTCCATCACATCCAGCGCTCTCTGAAGCGTCGCGAGCTTGCAATCACCTAACAGCTTCTTAACCACTTTGTCCCCGGCTTCTGAAACGTGGAAGTTTCCTGTCTCCCTCCTCTCGTAGCCGCCCTCCCGCACGAAACGCTCCATTGCGCGCGTAATGCCAACCACAGTTGCCTGGTCCGTCGCAAACCACTCGCGGTGCTTGGCGGTGCAGTCGTTTCCCTTGTCGTCTTTGCCGTTGCACTTGATGAACTTGATGTTGCAGTGTCTGAGCATAGCGTGTACGAGGCCCTCGACGCGGTGCGCGCCGACGAAGCGCCCTCCTTCAGTTTCGTGGATAATCTCCGTGCCGGCGGCGTAGCAGTTGTTGGGTTGTTTCTTTCGGGCGTTTCCCGAGTTACCACTATACCCGACCTTGAATCGGTCGTCCCGGCCGATTTTCTTAAAGACGTACACGATACCTTCGTACTTGTCCTTACTCTTGAAAGCTTCATAAAACTTGTGATGTAGGACCGAATTGTCGCGCGGGGTGCCTGCGCGCCGGAATGCGGCGATGCCCATGTCGCGCAAGTCCCAATCTCCTTCGTCTTGGTTTGTGAGGCCGGCGGAGGGAATGGCGCCGGCGCCACCGGCCCTTCCAACCGTATGTATAGTATTACTTGTGCCGGATGGCGGTGGTGTTTGCCGGGCGAGATCTAGCTTCCTCAGCCCGTCCGCTATGTCTGCAGTTGCGCCATCGTCGGGGCTCGGTTCGGTAGGGTTGACAGCTGGAGACGATGCGCGATTATCCTGCACGTTCAATGTCGCGACTGTCTTTTCCAGATCATCTATGTCGACTGTTGTATCCGGAGTTGAGGTGTCGAAACTGAAGTCTCCATCAAAGATATCGTCCTGTTGGATGCCGCTGCTCTCTGCATCATCATCCGAAACCACGATAATCTCGGGCGCAAGGCCGGCCTCAGTGACGGAGGTAGTAGAGGTATATGCGTGAACGAGTTTCACCCAATTCTTCCATTCTTGCTCCGATGATGCTCTTTTGATGTGAAGGGAGCAGAAACTGATTGAGATGTAGTTTCCTACATTTTGCAGCAGCAAATCCTTGTCAGTAACCTCGACCAAGGTTTCCAGGTACGTTCGGATCCTTTTCGCCTCCAATCGATTATCGCCTGTGGCAAGGACAGCTTTTAAACATTTTTTGCCCGCCCTTAGCCCAGTTTTGAGCACGGCAGGACATCCCCGTATTTCAACGAAGACGCTTCTGGCACCAATTCTGCTTTCCAGGTCTGAGAGAAGCGATTGAACCCCTTCCCGAGTCATAATAAGGATTCATGCATATATAAATATATATATGAGTGTACTAATTGGAAAAAAGGTGTCGTCGTTAAGGAGCAACTATCTGTTAATGAGTTATTGAGTGGAGGAAGCTACAGCAGACTGAGTCCCCTCTCTACGGGAGCACACGTATAGAAATACGGGGAGAGGGGAAAAGAAGTCCCCGTCACTCGAGCTGAACAGCCAAAGGGAAAATATCAACCTGCGGGAATTCCGTATGAGATGCACGGTTTCTGGACATGCATACAACTCGGCTGCAAGAGCGTCGAGTGTTGCGTGCTGATTGGCCCCGACCGCGACCTTACGCCCGGTGGCTTCCATGTAAGCCACTCGATTTTTGTTGCAACTCATCCGCTAACGGTTTAGGCCTGCCTAAAGGGGTGGTTGGTGGACGCGTATGACCTGGCTTGCATGAGCGCAATCCCGTATCCGCTCCGTGGCCAGCATACCAATAGTAGAGCTATATATAGGGTCATGGTGTGACAAACAAACAAAGAAGCCGGCATGGGCGGCCCGTTAAGCAGCCACACGGAAGCCTATGACACACGAGGGGCTAGGTGTGATAAACGAACAAAGAAGTCTATGTAGGCGGCCAATTATACAGCTATAAGGAAGCCTAGGATATATAGAGCTATAGGCCACCCTATACTACTTAGAAAGAAGATAAAAAGCTAATTTAATTAGATTAAGAGAGATTAGATTAATCTAAATAAACTTATTAAATAATCTTAGTTTAATTTAAAATAAAAGATTAAATAGAATTAATAAAATATAAGAGAATAATAAAAGAATTTAAAAATAAAACTATTTATTAGTTAATTTAAATAATACTTTTATTATTATAAATAATCTTTTAATATACTTTATATTATATACCTTTATAATAAAAATCTAGTTTATAACTATACTAAGTCTAACCTAATAATAAAATTAGAGAAGAACTTAAAAAAGGTAAATTAATACCTATAACCACCTTTATATAATACTAGCTTAAGACTATATTACTAAAGGCGGCTATAGTAGTTAAAATAATACTAAGGATATATTCAAATATAACTACCTAATTAAAATAAGCTATAATAAACCTATAATTAGAATAACCTAATTAAGATAATTAACTAAATAAGAACTTATAAATAAGCTTCTCTTTTTAATCCCTAAAGAGTATAAAGATAGAATAAAAAAAAATATAGTACTAATACTAATAGGTACTATACTATATTAAAACTATTATAGCCCTAAAGTAAGCTTCTCTCTTTATTACTTAAATAATAATCTAAATAATAGTTAAAAAATAGTTATATAAATATTAAAAATAAAGAAAAGTAAAAAAAAAATAAAAAGACTATTATTAGCCTTAATTCTATATTAATATAATAATAGACTAAAGGTAACTAACCTTATTTACTAAACTAATATTAATATAGTATAATAAAGAGTTTATAGTTAATACTAAAAACTATATTTAGAAAGTAAAGAACTAGTTATTATTAAAGGTAGTAATAATTATTAATAGAGCCTTTTAGACTAATACTATAGTAGCTGTATACTAGCTCTTATTAAAGGATATTATTCTTTTATTCTATAATAATATAAAGGATTATACTAAAGATAATTAATAAATAAAGACTACTTTTAGTATAGAGGTAATAATAGTCTACTATATATATATTATAGTAGTTAAAGTAATATTAATAAAAAAGATCCTTTAAGACACTTTAGGCCTAATAAATATACTATTAGTATTTAATAAAGTAGAAATAGTCTCTACTAAAGTATAGTACTTTTAGACTAGAATTAGAATAAAAATATCCTTTATTATTAGTATATATAATATAGAAATAGTAAACTAACTCTATAAAAGAAGAGTATATTTTAACTTTTAAGTATTCTAATATAAGCCTTATATAAAGATAGTATAGTCTTTATAATACTTTTAATACTATAGGTTTAATTATATTAAGAAATTCTATACTAATAATAAGTAATATAGATAGTATTTATACTATACTTATAGTAAAATTAAGTGTTATATAACCTAAAAGGACCCTACTAAAGAAAGATACTTAAACTATAATAGAGGTTATTTAATATAGGCCTAAGCCTACTCTATTATAGAATAAAACTAAGTAAGAGTTAATAAAGTATACTAACATATTATAGATATACTAAAGAACTATAGAAGAGGGGTAAGGCAGCCTAATACAGTAGCTATAAGGCGCTTATAAGAGTATAAGGATAAAAGAACTAGTTTTATAACTAGATTACTAAGGATTATAATAATCTAGTACTAATCTAAGATTATTAGGATTATAGAGTAAGCTAAGTAATCCTAATAATATAGTAGAGAATAGGATAGATATATAAAGAAGAGGATTTTTAATAAATAACTAGATTTAATCTCTACTAATTAATCTAAATAATAGTTCTACTATTAGGAGTTACCTTTTAATATAATTAATATAATTAATATAATAATAACTACTCTTTATACTTCCTATATATTTAACCTAACTTATTTTCTAAAAAATAGACTTACTATAGATTAAGGATTAAACTACTATTATATCTTAATTAGTCTAATTTAATAAGTTACTTTAAAACCTTAAGTAGTTAACCTTTATAATATTTAATATTAATAGTAATACTACTAGCCTAAAGTAGACTTTTACCTAGCTTATTAAGTAGATTAATAACCTTATAAAGAAACTTAATTAACTCTAAGTCCTAAATACTATTAGAGTTATTATCCTTTTAAAATCCTTTAAACCTAATATATTTAATAGAGTTAAAAAAAATATAAACTATCTTAATCTAAACTAAAGTATACTTATATATTAATAATACTATTAATAAACCTAAAGTAAAAGTACTTTATATAAAAAACCTTCTTATAGGAAAAATAATAGAATAGTAGGAGCTAACTTTTTAAGATTATTTTATTAAAGAAGAACCTAAAAAAGAATAACTAAAATCTTTAAAAACTATAGTACGTTTGAAAAAATATTAAAAACTATATTTAATAACCCTAATAAAGAATAAAGTATAATCTATAAGCTTAAATAGTTAAAATAAATAGACTCTATATAGTACTATAAAAAAGAGTTTTATTATATTATAATATAACTTATTTAGAATAATAATAGTTAAATAGAACTCTTTTATAATAGGCTTAAAGAGAAAATAAAAGATAAAGTCCTAAAGAATAATTAACCTAATAACTTTAATAAGTTTATTAATAAGATTATTAAAATTAATAATTAAGTTTATACTAAAAGACTAAAATATAAAAAAGGAAAAAGGACTTAAGAACCTTATTTATAACTAGTCCAATATTAGAAAATATATATATAGATCTATAGTCTATAGAACTTATTTAAGTATAATAGAACTTAATACTATAAATAAAGAAAAGACTAAAACTTACTATAACTATAGTAAAAAAGGCTATTTTATAAATAAATATTAGGCCTTAAAGAAATAATAGAAGCCTATAGAAGAAAGAAAGAAGCTTAATTTAGAATAGAGGTTAAACTACTATAAGTAATTAAGTATTATAAATGTATAGGATATATAGGTAGGACTATATAAGTTAGGCTAAATTAGACACACTAGTATCCTAAATAGGATATAAGGTTATATAACCTATAAAGTAATTAATAGATTACTTATTAATCACTATAACTAGAATAATTAATAAATAAATAGATAATCTAATTATTTAGAGTTATAGTAGAGAGATAGATAGGTACTTAAGGAGGAAGTATTCTTATAGCTAGGTAGTCTAGATCTCTACTAATTAATCTAAGTAATAGTTCTACTATTAGAAGATATCTTCTAATATAACTTATACTATAATAACTACTTATATACACTTATATATTTAAACTAACTCTTTACTTAAGAAGTAGACTAACTATAGATTAGGATTAAGCTACTATTATATTAAAGGGCTAGTTTTATAGAATAAAAGGAGAAATATAGTTAAATCCCTTTATATTTAATAAGCTTTAGTCTTTAAGATATATTAATTTTATAAAATCTAGGTTTAACCCTCTTTATTATTTTTAATCTATTCTATTCTTATATCTACTTAATTTTAGTAATACTATTATAATATCTATAAGATTATAAGTATTACTATATAATAATCTATATATATATATAGTATATAAAGTTCTTATACATTTATATAAATAGTAGTTACTTTATTAATATATAACTATACTTATACTATCTTCTTAGTACTAATAATAGTAAAGTAAGCTACTATTAGTATAGTATTAATAGTATTCTATATAGGAATTATACTATAGTAGAATACTGTTCTTATTAGATAATATTAATACAGTATAAAACATTATAAAATTTATAAAAAAAAACTCTCCTATTTTATATATACGGTCAGTTGCTTACTATTGCCTGGAGCCAGACACGGCAGCCTCGAGGCCTGGAGAACGTCGTTCTTCAGGTCATCGGCGTCCTTGACGCCGCAGCTAATGCGGACGAGGTCGTCTAAGACGACGACGGCCTTGGCCATACTTCTAGTGAGCTCGACTAGCGACTCGACGCCGCTGAGGGACTCGGCTAGTGTGAGGATCTTAGTGAGGGAATAGGAGAGCTCGGCGGCGTTGTGGCCGCCCTTAATGCGGAAGGACAGTATGCCGCCGCGCATGCCGCTATAGTGCTGCTTTATAGCAATTGCGCGGTGCGGATGGGAATCGAGGCCGGGGTAATTAACAGTGATGACGTTAGGCGAGGCCTCAAAGGCTGTGGCGACGGTGGTCGCGTTGTGTGTGGCCTCGCTAGCGCGTAGGTGCAGCGTCTTAAGGCTACGGTGGGCGAGCTACGAGTCAAATGCCGAGGGGACGGCGCTAATAGCGTTTTATAGGAAGCCCAGGCGCTTATACAGATCATCCGAGTTAAAGGCGGAAACGCCTATAACAACGTCACTATGGCCGTTAATATACTTAGTGATAGAGTGTATAATAATATCGGCGCCGAGATCTAGAGGGTTTTAGACGTACAGGGACAGAAAGGTGTTATCAACGACGACCAGAATGCCGTGGCGGTGGGCGACCTCGATGACCTAGCGGATGTCGACTAGGGCGGTTAGGTTACTAGGGCTCTTAATCCAGATGAGGCGGGCATTTTCGTTAATGTACACCATAATGCTAACTTTAATCTCGGAGGTAAAAGTTACCTTAACCCCGTGGGCCTTAGCGACCTAAGTGAAGTAGTGGTGGGTGCCGCTGTAGACGTCGGAGACCGAGATGACGTGGGAGCGACGTGGGAGCCAGCAGCGAGGCTCTGGAGGATATTAGCAGTGGCTGCGGAGCCGGAGGAATATACAAGGGCGTAGTGGGCATACTCAAGGGCGGCAACAGCCGCCTCGAAGTTAGTGCGGTTAGGGTTGGCCGAGTGCGAGTACTCAAAGACGCCGACGGGCTTACCCTCGGCGGTCTGGGCAAAGGTAGTGGACAGTGAGATGGGTTCAATAACGGCGCCGGTGGAGGGGTCGTGAGTAGAACCGGCGTGGATCGCTAGGGTGCCGAAGCGGTGCTCAAGTGTCGGGGCCGGAGCGGCGTCTAGACAGAGGGCTGGTCTGTGGTGGTGGCTGGAGACATCTTGGCCAGGTTGCAAGGTGGTGTATGTGTAAGTAAGGAGCTCTCCAATGATCAAGATCGAGTAGCAGAGATGCAAACGCGCAGATTACTACTCCAAAGGGAAGCGGGCACCCTATCAATAGCGAATATGAGCTAGACTTTTTGTGTCCGTATTTTGATCCGTAAATGTAGCAGCGGTCGAGGTTCGGTTTTAGAAGGGCTGGTGTGTGTGAAACTTGCACAGAATTGTAGATAGCTCAGACGGATACCGGTCGTGAGATGGCTGCTGGGACAGTTGAGGTGCTGTGGCCAAGCTGGCGGCCGGACGTCGGAGAGGGATGAGATGGCGTTGAGCTGATGGCCAGCCGGATAGCGATACTTGGAGCTTTACGGCAGATAAAGAACGCAAAGTGTATTTGATGTGATTGCAGTAAAATCGTCGAAGTCTCGGAGTCTCCCGAGTTGTTATGTACGAACAGCCCTAGGTCTTTTTACGGTGGAGAGAGGGCCGGCAATTGGAAGGGGAAAACAATCTTCCAAGAACAAAAGAAAGCTTGTAATGGTCGTGAGATACGCATCGCCACTAACGTCTGTGCAAGATGTCCACGTGAGTCAGTTGGAGGAGAGGTAAAGATGGTGTAACTCAGGCAGATGCTTACAGTACAATCATGCGAAGGCGGAGCTGGTGTTGTAGGCTGATTGAGGACAACTTGTGGTTTGATGCGGAAGTGTCCGAGGTAGGTAAACAAAGTTCTTTCGTCAGTGGAAAGTATGTACACGTGCGACGGATGCGGAGCGCTGGTTGAGCAAGAACGGGTGATATAAGTTGCGAGGTGCAGTTTATCGTCCTTTATCAAGAACGCTATCACACTATGGAGGGGGATCAAGAGGCTGAACCAACCAGACCGAGACCGCGGTATCTCAGCCGAACTCTCCTCTGCCCGTCTGAGTTCTTCGCCCCACCTAACACTACCCGATCAAGTCCCTAATAAGTTGTTCTCGTTTGTTTCGCCCCACCCCCACTACCATGGCTTAAACTACCTGATTACAGCCTGAGTCTGGATTCCTAATTAGGAATGCGAATACCCACTTTTCTACTTTCGTGGTTTTAGACCGCTGACGATATACTTTTCTGTTGCCTGAGGTGGGAACTACAATGGCTAGCTTCGTATTCTCAATACGGTCGCAACGGTCTACTTGTTTCATATTAAATTGCTTATAAATACGCTATAATGCGTACGAAGCGCTTCCCTGATTCTCTAAAGTATCTTTACTCCACACTCCCGTATAGTGGCCTACGAGTAGTACCTCCGCGGAGCGTTTAGATGTCGATGTTGACAGAATAACTTAGTCGTAAGCTTGCAGGCTTAGGGTAATGAAATTTCTTTAAGGGTACAAGTGGTCTAGAAGAGAACAGTCTATTTACAACCTTTCCGCTACTAGGAAGCATATTTGTTAGAAAGCAAATGCTTGCTACGATGAAGCTCAACATGCGGTCAACCCGGGCAAAGCTTTCTCTGCTTTATTCCTTTATCGGCTTCTTCGCTTTTGTCAAGCTCTGGACTACGGGACTAGGTATTGATATTACGACGTGGAAGTATACGACTTTCCAGCGGCATGATATACACAACGACTTATCTAAAGCTGCACAAAATGAGACTCTCGGGTTCGAAAAAGTCTTCTACATCAGCATGCCTCAGTATAGTACCATTTTTCCCTGCGAGAATGATCGGGTAGCTGACCTTGCTATTCCCAGTCGGTCCGATCGCCAAGACAGCATGACCATGTTAGCCACTTCAACAAATATACGACTAATTCTACAGGATGGAGTATTCAGACTCACCCACCAGCTCCAAGTTCACTATGCTAACAAATGTATGTAGGTCGATGGCAATACCATTCATGAGAAGGCGAGGCCGAAAGGAAGTCAGGCTTTAAGACCAGAACAGCTGGGCTGCTGGCGCAGTCATGCCAACGTGTGGCGTAAAATTATCGAGGAAAGGATACAAACGGCTATTATACTCGAAGATGATGCCGACTGGGACGTCCGAATCCATGACATATTTCAGGATTTAAGCGTCCAGATAGGAAAAGGGGTACTAAGAAAAGAGAAACCCACGAGCTACGAGGTTGCCCATGCACCATACGGTATAATCTTGCCCTGAAACATATTTCATCCCAAATGAAAGTAACCGCATCACGAACTGACTGAACTGTAGGTATGGATTGGGACTTGTTATATGTCGGCACTTGCTGGAACATTAACGCCGAAGTTCGCCCACCGTGCCATATTTACGAAGACGCCAATGCGCCAAATTCAACAGAGTATGTCATTTTTGACCTTACTGATGTCTTTCACCCGTCCAAAAGATTTAAAACTACATGTCATAGCTGCTATTACAAGTGCTGTAAGCTAACTTGCAACAATTAGGATGTCTTTCGCGTACCGTAACGAGCTTGAGTATTGGGGCGCCGATTCTTCTAACAACCGGCGCGTCAGAGTGATAGCCCCTTCGTGGTACCCCGTGTGTACAATCGGTTACGCTGTAACCTTGCAAGGAGCTCAAAGGCTGCTACACACAATAGGAAACGAAGGAAGTGTGGGAGCACCCGTTGACCTTGCCATGATAAGCGGGATTCAGTCCGGTGGCCTCCGGTCGCTGACAGTTGTTCCTCCATTGTTCACTCCTTGGAAAACAGGAACCATTTCTGACAGCGATATTGACGATCTTGGAACCACCAAGGACGAACTGCCTCAAGGCAGCGAGAACTTGCGATATAGTGGAAGGGTGGCTTTGGCAGCGCAACTCTGGCAAGATTAAAACTGGAACGGCCTTGACCAGTCATGCTCTCGTTGTAGAATAATCCTGGATATGAAGGGTCTCTTAATCTGAAAGGCCTACTTCGCACTTCCTATCTCTAAACTTTTCTGTATTTGCCTGGCGACATACTCTTGTACTCGCACAAAGTCTGGCAAATCAAGCACGCCATCGATCGTAATAGTGGGAACGGTCTGATTAGCATGAGGCTCACATGCGTAAGCTGGCAATCGAGACCGAGAAACGGATTTCACACTTCCCTGCCCGTCATCTTGAGCCTGTTGCAGAATTTTCAAGGCCGAAAGTGGATCATGAACCACAATCACCCAGACTCAATCGGACTGTGCCGGTAGAAACTGCATAAATTCATCCACGTGGTCGATTTGTAGCCAAGAGGTGTCGATTCTTACCGTTGGCTGAATCTCTTGGGCGGCCAAAAGACTCACGATATTTGGCTGCTGCCCGAACTTTGAGCCCATAATCGTGCGCCCTGTTTTTGGTTTCTTCTCTTTGGTACATATGTCGTTCGCTATGCCACCTTTGCTCCCTTCAGCCTTGCCGAAATGTTCAACACTTTGCGGACAAGGAAGCTGCACAGCGCTAGGAGCAGGTAATTGACGAAGCAAAGGCTAAAAAGGTGCCGACGGCGCCCATGGTGAACCCGGTCCAGGGGCGGGTGCCGAGCCACATGAAAGCCTGGGCGTCGGCGCGGTACCAGGTGCTGCTCTCGAGATCGGTAATGTAGCCGTCAAGGCCCGGGGGGGCGAGATGCCCTTGACAGTAGACAAAGGGATGGTGGGCTGCTGCAGCAGGTAGTAGGTGCCTGCGCCATGAGATAGTTGAACCAACTACCTGGCCCGGCAGAGTGTGCGTCGCGATTAATGCAATGTTATGCTGCCTGTAGATCTCATATCATTCGCCAGCTTCTGCGAGCGCCTCGATTAGATTATATTGAACTGCAGTATCACCAGCGAAATTGTCCAATAAAAGGTATACAACGCGCTCATCTGAAGCCCTACTTAAATAACTATAGTATATTCTAGTTCTTTAGTAAATTCTTCTAAATATATTAACCTTTTTTTTTCTTCTTTAGTTATTTAGAATATAAAAGTATAAATAAGTATATCTAAGATTTTCTATATTAATACTCTTTAGATAAAGTTCTTAAAGAAATAATCCTTAAAGAAAAGAGTAAAAGAGTATTCTCTTCTTTTAGTATTTATACTTTAGTTTTATTTATTTTTAATACCTTTCTTCTTCTTTTTAAGTACTTCTTTCTTTTTTAAGCCTTTAGTTAATCCTTTTTTTAGTTTCTTTAGACTTTAAGTCTATTAAAGACCTTCTTAAAGTAATATTATATATTTCTATAAAAAAGGCTCTTTTAAAAAAGGTTAGTACTTTATTATTATTATTAAGACTTTAAGTAGATATTATTAATAAAAATAATTAAAGCTTTTTTATTTTAAAAAGAGTTAAATAGTAGTTTTTTTTAAATAAAAGTAATTATATAAAAGTTCTAAAATAGCTTTATTAATAAAATTCTTATTCTTTTTAATTCTTTTTAAGTTTTATAAAAAATCTAATAATCTTATAGTCTACTTTCTAGATTTTTTATACTCTTATTTTTTACTAACCTTTTTTATTTATTATAAATCTTATTTTTTTTAACCCTCTATTATTAATATTACTTTTATTATTAATACTTTTTATAAGTATACTTTAACTTTTTAATAAATAAATTATTAAATATTATAAAAGGATTAAACTAATAAATTAATTAAAGTTTATTTATTATTATAAGATTTATAAAAAATAAAAAAAAATAGAAGAGGTTATTAATTATTAGTCTTTATCTTTAAAAATAAAAGCTATTTAAATACTTTAACTAGTTAGATTTTCTTAAAGTTATTCTATAAGGTTTTTTAAAACCTAGAGGAGGGGTAAAGGTCTTTAATATAATAGTAGAACTATTATTTAGATTTATTTATTAATATTTAGTCTTTTTATCTATAAAAAATACCTTTTTTATATACTATATCTCTTTATTATACTTTTAGATTAATTTAATCCTACTTAATCCTCTAATTTAAATTAAATTAAGTCTATCTAATAAGTCTAATTAGATTAGTTTAATCTTTTTAATCTAGTTATATAACCTATTAAGTACTATAGAGTGGCTTATAGCCCCTCTATATATTTTAGCTTCCTATATAACTATATAATAAGCTACTAATTATAAGAGTTTAGGCTATAGCCTAGCTAGACTAATAGCCTAGTAGCCTAAAGTATAAGGCTAATAGGGGGGGGGGACTCCCCCTTATATATAGTAGCCACTTTATTATAACCTCCTTACTTCTTCCTCTATAAGAGATTTAATTTAACCTTATATTAATACCTACTTATAGTAACTATAAGGCTAGTCCTTAATAATTAAATCTCTTCCTAGTTTTTTTTTTTAGTTACTATAATAAAAGTAGGGTAGTCTTCTTAAGACACTCTAATAGACTATATTAAGCTAGTATTACTAAATTAAACCCTACTTAAATAAAATAATAAACTATAAATAGAAATATAGTTTAGGGAAAAAAGGGGGGGGGGGGACACCCCTTATATATAGTAGCCACTTTATTATAACCTCCCTACTTCTTCCTCTATAAGAGATTTAATTTAACCTTATATTAACGCCTACTTATAGTAGCTATAGGGCTAGTCCTTAATAATTAAATCTCTTCTTAGTTTTTTTTTTAGTTACTATAATA